AGAGAGAGAGAGAGAGAGAGAGAGAGAGAGAGAGAGAGAGAGAGAGAGAGAGAGAGAGAGAGAGAGAGAGAGAGAGAGAGAGAGAGTGGGAGAGGAAAGTCAGATGCACTGCAACCACCCCACTAACACCCCCACAATCTGAGCAAACACAGCTAGAGCAGATCACGGATTCCGCCCTGCCTCGTTGGCAGGGCACTCGTAACAACAAACGAGGAACAAAAAAAAGAAAACAACAAGTTTCAGAATGTGACCATCTTTGCTGTAATCTGCATTCTGTAGAGGAAGACTGTGAGCACGGCCTCCTAGACTACCCTGCCCGACATCATTGCAGTACAGAAAGCTTTTTTTTTCTCTTCCTTTTCCTTTCACACGCAGGCAAATGAAAACTAAGATTTTTGGGACTTGCGGACCCTGGGTCCCACCCCCCAATTCTTCGGGTACAGGCTAAAAGTTGTAATTTCCCAACACTCGCAGAGGTACTAGTGGTTTAAGCAGAAAATAAACACCAACCAACCAACTCCTAAGACATAGGAGTAGACTATATACCAAGTCCAGTCGCAGCAATAAAGCTGCAAGAGACATGCACACATATTGCTGAAAACATTCATCAGAAGGTACTCATATTGTTGAAAACATTCATCACAAGGTACTTCTCATATTGTTGAAAAAATCAATCATTTCCATTGGTTACCTTGTGCAAATCCTGTCTCTTATACACATCTAGATGTGTATAAGAGACAGCTATATACCAAGTCCAGTCGCAGCAATAAAGCTGCAAGAGACATGCACACATATTGCTGAAAACATTCATCAGAAGGTACTCATATTGTTGAAAACATTCATCACAAGGTACTTCTCATATTGTTGAAAAAATCAATCATTTCCATTGGTTACCTTGTGCAAATCCTCCATCACGTACTTGCCACTTGGCTTCAAGTCTGCAAGAAAAGGCACCCTGTCGCTGACGTTCTGAAAGTCATCGAGAGTCAAATCCACACCGACAGACCTGCAAAGGCATGACCACATACCATTCATATTCATTTCCTATATGCACTGAATCACAGAGGTGCACACAGCTTCCAACTTCCTTCGATGGTGTCCGCCCACATATACTGAGCAATGCATACAGAGTCTAGGCTGTACAACTAGAGTGGCCCGGGCCCTCTTGCCCGCCCAGGCCAAATATATAGAGAGAGAGAGAAGAGTTTTTTTTAGCTTTTTTTTTAAGTTCAATTTTTTTTAAAATTTTGTAGCGAATGTCGATTAGACCCTGAGGCAAAAGGCGTTCAGTTGATTTTTCTGCATAACATAGTTTTTCTTTTTAGATTCTTTTATTTTTTATTTATCGCAGGGACCTTCCTTGGCCATTGCCCGGCCGGGCTGCCCGCGCAACCAAGATGACCCGGGCCGCCCGGTTCGTGGCCCAGTCTGGAGAGTACAATGCTACACTCCTCTCTCTCCTCCCCCTCACCCAACCAACCCCCTTCACTCCCTCCCACTTCCACCCTGCACACAGCTTCCCATTTCCATCAACTCCCTCCCCTCTCCCCCTACTTCCACCCTCCTCCCCTCTCTCCCGAAAATCGTCCTAAACAGAGCACAGTGACAATCTCTTTCGCAAAGACAGTAGCACACCAACATGAATATCCGAGGTCCACAGACTCCACACCTGAGTCCTGACATCACCCCTGAATATACAGACTGGTTGACTGCAGACCAGATCAGAGCCTGGTAGTCGAGCCAGAGACGAATTGGGGGTCAAGGAGAGGGCGGGGGAGGGCATTTAAAGTCTGTTTTTCTTTTTTTCTTCTTTTGTTGGGGGGGGGGAAGGGTAAAGCCAAAACTTCGCAATGACAAGGTGTTACATCTTCAACGCCACACGGGTCCTACCGGACCCGACTTAGGGCTAGAGGGACAGATTAGGGCCTAAAGGCCCGACCTTGGGGATTAACAGTCCGAAAGGCCACGACTTGGACCAGATTACGGACCAGGCCCAAACGACGTTTCGTTTTGGGCCTGGCGGCGCCTTTGAGGCTGCCACTCTCCGGTTGGACCTGAATCGTCGATCTGGACGGTTCAGCCCCAACCAAGGCCGGTCTTCTTCGAACCAGTACTTAGTACTGGTCCGGCCTCACTTCGAGGCATCGACCCACCGGCACTCTAGCGGTGCGGTATGGTACGGCGCGAACAGCGCTGGCGCTATGTTTAGCGCAGGAGCACGAGGAGCAGCGCAGCAGCAGCATTAGCGCAGCAGCAGCAGCGGCGACTGAGCGTATCGGCGGCCATAGCCGCCTGAGGTATCGGGAGTCGGAGGTCTCTCCTCGCTGCCATCGCCAGTCCCCTCTCTCTCTCTCTCCTCCTCGGCTTCCTTCTTCTTCTTCGTCTTCTCTTCAGACTTCATCTTCTTCTTCGTCTTCTTCAGACTGGAGACTTATACTAGTTGGACAGAGATCAGAGTTGGACTTCGGTGGTATGAGGCTGTGGTACTTACCGGATTCGAGACTTCGAGATTGTTGGGGATGATACTCGGCTGCATCACGGATATAACACCGGTTACATTAGGACTATGCATCTCCGACATTGGTGACTTATTGTCCTCGACATTTTGATCTTGTTCGATGACATTTTGGATTACCATATCGGGGACCTACTGGTTTCTATCTCCGTGACATTTGGTGCTACCTACATCTCCCACCTCCTTCGTCTCTCCTCCCACCTTCATCTGTGTATGTGTGTACGGGGCTGAGCATCGTCCATGTATGGCTCAGACCCCACCATCTCACGATTGTATGTGTGTGGAGTGATATCTATGTGAGTCAGTCTATGTGAGTCAGTCCGTTTATCAGACTTCCGCTGCATACATGCTCATCCTATATTGGTTGATCTTTGGTTCTGCCCCATACTCGTTGACATCTTCACGAGTATGTAACACAAGGCATGGATACAGCATACGATACCTGCTATTATTCCCCCCACTACCCCCCTACCCCCCCCCCAAAAAAAAAGACAAACTAAAAGCCTCCTTGACAAACATAGTGGGAGGGAATCCACAACCTACAATCATTTTTCCAGGAAAAAAAGAAAAAAAAAAATAGGCACATGTTTTATACGCACGTGCAGGAGACTCCTTATTCGATCGCTGAAAAACTGTTTTATCAGCAAGGGGGAAAAAAAAAAAGTCATTCTTGAATAGACAAGACGCAGAGGAGGGAACACAATACCGGCTACCGTTTTCCAAAAAAAAGAGGAAAAAACTTCGTTTGCTTCAGCTAATGTACCCTAGAACACACATCAGGGCAACTTCCCACTGAGAATCTACAGGATGAATCTGATCGCCTTTATGACTACCGTAGATGAAGCCAAAGAAATGGCTTGGGTGTCAGTACGGCTAGATGCCGCCAAATACGAAGCTCCGCAGTCAGTACGTCCCCTTAGACACATCCACACATTTCCCACACCGCACATCACCAGATGCATACAACGAACCTGGCAATCGCGATGAGGTGTAGCACAGCATTAGTCGACCCTCCAAGCACCATGAGCAAGACCATCGCATTCTCAAGCGCTGCACGAGTGATAATATCGCGCGGCTTGATATCCTTCTTCAGAAGCTCTATCAGGTACTTGCCAGCCATACGGCACTCCTCCAACTTCAGTGGGTCTTCCGCAGGAATGGAGGAGCTGTTCGCCATCAAAGCAGATCATGACACCAAACCCACAAAGTTTCAAAACAACTGGCCATCAAAGAGTTTTCTCTTTTTCTTTCTTTATCCGAGCTGTTCTACCATACATCCACACGCATAAATCGAGAAATGGTCCAAATTTTAAAAATTGTCAGGCACTGAAGTACCAGTATATCCGAGAAAGGAGGAGATTGAGCCTCTCCTGAAAAAAAAAAATAGGAGGCCGTGAACCGCCAATTCATTGTATCGACGGTCCATGCATGGCCCCTCCAGATTGTTAGGAGAGGCGCAATCTGCTTTTTTTTGTGGGTATTTTCACTTCATTGACACGATCAGGCCGTAGTAGATTATCAGCACCAACAGCTGTAATGATGCAGTGAGATGTAATTCTAGCGCAGTGGTTCTTCCGGCCTTCCCTTGCTCTCCTTCTGTTCACGGGACAGTTGTTCGAGGCAATATTGTATTCATGGAAAAGCAAGGAAATAATAAATAATAAGATAGGATAATAAATAGGATGATAAATTAGATTCTATCCACACATAAATTCCCACCAGATGGACAGATCACAGGTACATGACACTTTACAATAGGCGTTGCAGGAGCACATAGTTCAGCCCGTCGCCAGCTTTTCCATTGTCCTTTCTTCAGTCGCTGAGCAGCAAAGAAATATAAGGAAAGAGCCATAGGGTATACATCCAAACACCATCCAAATGTGAAAAAGTGACAAAAGGGACAACCGTACAATGACATAAAGGCAGTTAAGATACACTCGCCATTTTTCCCAATTTCTGAGGGGTGGAGCAAGGGGACCATCCTAGAGGGATCAGGCCCCAGTGGCAAGCTATGTGCTTTGCTAGCGCTAGCTTACCTCATCATGAATCTATACAAGTTTTCTCGTCCCAAACAGAAGTCTGTCAGTCAGCAATAGAACTTCTGTCTTCACCCAAATACAATGCACCCTCATCACGAATCTATACAAATTTTCTGGTCCGATACAGTTGACCATAAGAGTGCATTCTACTCGGACGAAGGCTGCAACATTGTGCGCACACTTCCCACAAGCACTACACACCTCCTGAGATTCAGGGCCAGATCCCACTGGCAAAGAGGATTCGAATAAGTGTCTGAATCAGGATGTGTTCCATGCAGAACACGCAGAAAAGCAGATCAATTACAGTTTTTTGCACCTCTCCGCAAAAACGCCCAGATTCAGACACTTATTCCAATCGTTTTTGCCAGTGGAATCTCGCCTCAGACACCACTGCCGCAAGAACCTGACCACTTTAACGGCCAGATTCTAACGAGATTCATGCTGTGTGCATCTCCTTGCCAATCGTCCACCACTCCAGTTTCTCATCAGAGACCATGAAGGAACAGTGCCAGTGGATACAGATTCTGACACCACTGCCGCAAGAACCTGCCCACTTTAACGGCCAGATTCTAACGAGATTCATGCTCAATGACGCATGAACCCGGTCAGTTTTATGGTCAGGTCTCGACAAGGTTCATGCTTACTCCAAGCCAACATAGAACTAGCAGAACCAGAGACATCTTCAGGTACGGGTGCAAACCACCTCTGTTTCTTCGGGTCACCACATGTTTTTTTTTTATTATATATCGTCAAATAGAACTGCCCGGTAAACCGTAGGCAGAGAGGGAGAAGAGGACAACAAACGAGTATATATATTACATCCATTTTCTAGTATTTGTTATGGAATCCTATTCATTTTTAATTCGAGTAACAAAGATTTCACCTGTACGGTAGCGTCATTCCCAAAGCCTCGATGGCACTTGCCATTGTGTTAGCAGTGTACATGCCTCCACAAGCTCCAGCACCAGGACAACTGTGCCTCACAATCCTGGCTCTTTCCTCCTCTGTGATTTTGCCCCCAACATATTGCCCATAGCTCTGCCGAAAAATCCATCATTGAAATGAAGGACACGCCACATTTCCGCACCCAATTCCCACCACCAGCACCCCCCCAAAAAAAACAAAAAAAGAAATGGATCAATCAGAGCCAAGATCTCAAATTTTGAGCTGTTGCCGTCTGGCACATAAAGAAGGATTAAAAAAAACAGGAATGGGACCTGAGGGCTCACTTCTAGCAATTACGTTTGATATCATTTCTGGTCTCTCAAAACCACCACTACCTCCGAGCCTCTTTTTGCTGAGGCAGAGTAGAACTGCGCACCAAGCTTTGCTGCCAAAGCACCAGCGCAACATTTTCTGCGCGCCAAGGTTTGCTGCCAAAGCATCAGCGCAACGTTTTTTCCTTTGTTTCGGCTGGCGTCGCCAACCATTTTGGTTCAGTGGCACCCGACCTCCAGAGAATGCGATATAGGT